ATTCATCAAGAACTGTAAAAAACCACTATCACAGACCCTTCACATTCTGTGGAGACAAAGCCTAGATACTGGCGTTATCCCTGACATACTAAAAACAGCAGAGATAGCACCACTCCATAAAGGAGGAAATAAAGCAGAGGCAAAAATTACAGACCGATAGCACTAACATCGCACATCATAAAAATTTTTGAGAAAGTGCTAAGAAGTAAGATCACAAAATACATGGAATCACAGCATCTCCATAACCCCGGACAACATGGTTTCAGAACAGGGCGCTCTTGCCTGTTACAGTTGCTGGACCACTATGATGTGGCATTAGATGCTATGGAAGACAAACAAAACGCTGATGTAATTTACACAGATTTCGCAAAAGCTTTTGATAAATGTGACCATGGTGTTATTGCACATAAAATGCGTTCAAAAGGAATTACCGGGAAAATAGGCAGATAGATCTACAATTTCCTGACCAACAGAACCCAATGTGTAATAGTCAACAAAATAAAATCCAGCCCATCAACCGTGAAGAGCTCAGTCCCCCAGGGTACTGTGCTTGCTCCAGTACATTTTCTCATCCTCATATCGGACATAGACAAGAACACAACCTATAGCACTGTATCATCCTTTGCAGATGACGCTAGGATTTTCATGAGAGTTGGCAACATAGAGGACACGGCAAACCTCCAATCAGATGTAGATCAGGTCTTTCTATGGGCTACTGAAAATAATATGGTGTTTAACGAGGATAAGTTCCAGCTCATGCGCTACGGAAAAATTGAAAATATAAAAACAGAAACCACGTACAAAACTCAGGCAAATCATAACATAGAACAAAAAGGCAATGTAAAGGATCTGGGTGTACTCATGTCGGAAGACCTTACCTTTAAAGAACACAAAAAAGTAGCCGTCACAACTGCAAGAAAAATGACAGGTTGGATAACAAGAACTTTTCACACTAGAGATGCTATACCGATGATGATACTTTTCAAAACGCTTGTGCTTTCTAGAGTGGAGTACTGCTGCACAATGACAGCCCCTTTCATATAATGCATATAACGAACCACTAAGTTGGTATGTTGATTGGCAATGGCAGCCAGTGGCAGCCACTTCCTCTCTCATCTCGCCTGACTTGCCACCATTCTCCTCCCACCATACTGATTTTGCTTTTATATACAGACGTTATATATAAGTATTTACATGTTTTGTTCACCATAACTGTACATCTAAGCTTGTATGGTGAGTAAAGGCACAAAGACGTAGGACCTCACACAGTCAGCTGGTGGCTGCCGCCCTCAAGGCCAGACGCACTAATATTTCTCCTCCAACAATACAGTTTGTGGTGTTATTACTCTATATACACACATTATATATATATAAGTATCTACCTGTTTTATTCACCATTCTTGTACAAGTAAACTGGTATGGTGCCCAAAGACCATAGTGGTCACCTGTAAACAACATGATAAGTCGTGCAGACGACGCCACCTCCCTCACAAAAATGGCGACTCCCAACCTTCTCGTATTGCTGTTTATACCATCTATACACACGTTATATATAAGTATCTACATTTGTGTTCACCATAGTGAACCACTAAGCTGGTATGGTGAGTGCAGTCAATAAAAGGTGGCCACACACAGTCAGAAGACAACACCACCACCCTCCCTCCCACAGCATTACTCCTCCCTCCATGGAGCACAGCACTAAATATCACCACAATCCTGCTATTATCAGAACCCTGGTCAGTTTTATCACAGTCAGGGGTCTTCTGTTGGTTGATACCTGGTTGATGGGGTTCTGGGAGTTCTTCTACTCCCCAAGCTTGGCCCGAGGCCAGGCTTGACTTGAGAGTTTGGTCCACTAGGCTGTTGCTTGGAGCGGCCCGCAGGCCCACATACCCACCACAGCCCGGTTGGTCCGGCACTCCTTGTTCTATTCTGCATTTTCTTCCATATCGTTCACTCCAGTACGTTATTATTTTACTGTGTAGATTTGGTACTTGGCCCTCCAGTATCTTCCAGGTGTATACTTTTTTATATATATCTCATCTTCTTTCTAGTGAGTACATTTGGAGGGCTTTGAGACAATCCCAATAATTTAGGTGCTTTATTGCGTCTATGCGTGCCGTATATGTTCTCTGTATTCTCTCTATTTCAGCAATCTCTCCTGCTCTGAAGGGGGAAGTGAGTACTGAGCAGTACTCAAGACGGGACAACACAAGTGACTTGAAGAGTACAACCATTGTGATGGGATCCCTGGATTTGAAAGTTCTCGTAATCCATCCTATCATTTTTCTGGCTGTCGCAATATTTGCTTGGTTATGCTCCTTAAACGTTAGGTCGTCAGACATTATTATTCCCAAATCCTTTACATGCTGTTTTCCTACTATGGGTACATTTGATTGTGTTTTGTACTCTGTGTTATGTTAAAGGTCCTCATTTTTACCGTACCTGAGTTCCTGGAATTTATCACTGTTAAACATGTTATTTTCTGATGCCCAGTCGAAAACTTTATTACAGTAATATCAGCTTGAAGTTTTTCAGTGTCTTCAGCCGAGATAATTTTCATACTGATTTTTGTGTCATCTGCAAAGGATGATACGAAGCTGTGACTTGTATTTTTGTCTATATCTGATATGAGAATAAGGAAAAGCAGTGGTGCAAGGACTGTACCCCGAGGTACAGAGCTTTTAACTGCACTTGGACTAGATTTTATATGGTTGACCGTTACTCGCTGAGTTCTGTTTGACAAAAAACTGAGTATCCAGCGTCCTACTTTACCAGTTATTCCCATTGACTTCATTTTGTGTGCTATCACGCCATGGTCACATTTATCGAAAGCCTTTGCGAAGTCCGTGTATATCACATCAGCATTCTGTTTTTCTTCTAATGCCTCAGTGACTTTGTCATAGTGCTCAAGTAGCTGTGAGAGGCACGATCTTCCCGCTCGAAATCCATGTTGGCCTGGGTTGTGAAGGTCATTGGTCTCCATGAAATTGGTGACCTGACTCCTAATCACTCTCTCAAATACTTTTATGATGTGCGATGTTAGTGCAACTGGTCTATAATTCTTTGCCAATGCTTTGCTCCCTCCCTTGTGTAGAGGGGCTATGTCTGCTACTTTAAGTGCATCTGGTATCTCCCCCATATCCAAGCTCTTCCTCCACACTATACTGAGTGCCTGTGCTACCGGCACTTTGCATTTCTTTTATAAATATTGAATTCCATGAGTCTGGACCTGGGGCCGAGGGCATGGGCATGTTTTCAATTTCTCTTTCAAAATTTAGTGCGCTCGTGTTGATATCAGTTATATTTACAGGGGTTTGAATATCCCGCATAAAGAAATTGTCTGGATCTTCCACTTTCATGTTGTTTATTGGAGTGCTAAACATGTCCTCATACTGCTTTTTTAGGATTTCACTAATTTCTTTGTCATCCTCCGTGTATGAACCTTCACTTGTACGGATAGGTCCAATACTGGCAGTGGTTTTTGCTTTTGATTTCGCATATGTGAAGAAATATTTTGGATTTTTCTTAGTTTCCTGAATTGCTTTCTGTTCTAACTGCCTTCAGTTTCATATGAGTGTTTCAATTTCCGCTCGATTTCTTCAATCTCCCTATTTAAATTATTCCTTCTTTGACAGGAAATTCGTGTCTGCATAAGCAGTTCCGTTATTTTTTTCCTGCGTTTATAGTGTCGTCTGCGTTCTCTTGCTACGTTGGATCTCTTTCTGGCTTTCCTCAAAGGAACATGTTTCAGACAGACTTGATATGCTTCCGAAGTCAGTTTTTCTATTCCATCTGTAGGACTTGTATTACTTAGAACAGTTTCCCATGGAATGTTTGTAAGTTCCCTGTTTATTATCTCCTAGTCTATCCTTTTATTATTAAAATTGAATTTACTGAATAGCCCCTCTCGCTTTATCAACGTTTTAGGTCTATTCTGAGTATTGATAGTCGTTTGCACTTCAGTGAGCTTGTGATCTGAGTATTAGGTATCTGATATCGTAATGTCTCTGATAATGTCTTCATTGTTCGTAAAGACCAGATCTAAAATATTTTCATTTCTCGTTGGCTCCGATATCTGCTGATTGAGTGAAAATTTGTCAAAGAATCTAAGTAGTTCTCTAATCTGTGGTTGGTTAGGTCCCGATAGATTTCCTGGTATAATATTATTGTTTGCTATTTTCCACCTGAGACTAGGCAAGTTGAAGTCACCTAGGAAGATAATATCAGGTATAGGGTTCTCCAAATTATCAAGGTTATTCTCTATTTTGTTTATCTGTTCTGTGAATTCCTCAGCCGTTGCATCTGGCGGTTTGTATATTAGAATAATCACTAAATTTATTTTCTCTATTTTTAATCCCAGTACCTCTACCACCTCATTTGTAACGTTTAGGAGCTCCGAGCATACAAGGTCTTCCCTAATATACAGACCCACTCCTCCATGTGACCTAATTATAATGTGACCTGAAATAATATCATCGCTACATAATAGCATGAACAAGTATATTATGGCATTTTTAGGCGATGCTGTGGTCACAAGCTGAACAGCAGTGCTGAGAGCTTATGCTGCGTGCGTCAGGCTTGGTAGCTCACTCAATACTGAGGCCCCTAACACCCAGGAATTTGGCCCACTATTTTTTTTTAAAATGGCGTCTGTTTACAAGAGCCCTGATGAAGATGTGGTGAACCCCGTGTATCCGCGGGCCGTTTAAATCTTGCGTAGTACTCCAAAGCATCATATGATGCGATGCGCAATTTAAGGGTTAAAGGCCAAATAGCCCAGAGCAGCTTGGGGGTTAGAGGACAAGACATAGTTATAGGAATGGTGTGTTCCGAGATAGTCCTAGGAGTCTAATGTATGGAATATGGCCCTACATCATCAATTCCATAAGCTGAGGGGACCTGCTTAGAAATTTTTTTAATGAAAGCATTAGCAATGCATGATAATGCTATTTCACAATTGTGCAAAAGGTAATTGAAAATTTTTCTTTGATTTGCAGAAGCTTGTATGCATGTACATCCGAAGATCAGCGAGAAAAAAGTTGAAGATATCATATCTGTGTACCTGAGAAATGCACCATTAAGACTGGGGAAAGGTAGACTGAAGGTGAGCTGTGAAATATAATGTATTTCCCCTAAATGCATTCTACATTGAATAGCCTTCTCTGCAGTTAAAATTATTATTAATGTTCAGTAGTTTTTTTTCAGTCTCCATCTGTCATAAAGTTATCCTAATTAACTCCATCAATTTCAATTTAATTATTCTTCATACTGCATGTTATAAATTAGTTGTGTCGGGATGTAGCAACCATATTTCTTTCCATATAATGCCTTGCCATCTCATAAGCTTAAAACTTGTCATCATGAATAATACATTGTATTTTGACATCAAAATCCCCAACAGACATAGTATGATGTACTATAAAACCAGCATTGAATGTAACAAAGGGTCAATTTCTTGGCGAGACCCTGTGGCTTCCTGAAGCTATCTCGCTGAGATGGCTCCCAACAACTAGATCACCTCATTCATGGAACTTGGGTCATCTTACTGAGGACCAGAGCCAGAACCTGGCTATAGGGAGCCGGTCGGCCGAGCGGACAGCACACTGGACTTGTGATCATGTGGTCCTGGGTTCGATCCCAGGTGCCGGCGAGAAACAATGGGCAGAGTTTCTTTCACCCTATGCCCCTGTTACCTAGCAGTAAAATAGGTACCTGGGTGTTAGTCAGCTGTCACGAGCTGCTTCCTGGAGATGGAGGCCTGGTCGAGGACCGGGCCGCGAGGACACTAAAAAGTCCCGTAATCATCTCAAGATAACCTCAAGATAAACCCCTCACCAGAGGTGCAGGTAGGAGGTGACATTGCCTCCTCACCAGGTAGGGAATCCAAGGGACCCTTTTTCACTTTCCCCTAGCTCCAGAAACCATCCACGAAGGCTCTTAGGCAGAGCTGGCAGCCACCCCTACTGCCTGGGATAGAAAGGCAGTGTCCAAGGAAGAGGTTCCAGAAAAAGGAGTTGGTGGGAAGGAAAACCCAGAAACCCCTGTGGGGGTTTTGGGTTTTTTAAACTAGCCTTTGTGCCTGAATTGAAAGGAGCTGCCTTCCCCTCCCAAAACAGCCGAGCCATATTCCGAGCTAAACCCTGCCCAGATTCAGAAACTCTCAGTAGTTTCAAGGCCAAAGCAGGTGGAGCGGGAGATCAGAGGCAGGGTGAACCACACCCGAATGGACAAGTCTGCTGAAGATTGGCAATTAAACCTCCCCTTAAAATGCAGCCTGATATGCACAAATCTAATCAGGATGGGTCAGATAAGAGAACCACATGGGGAAGATAAACCCTACAAGACTCTAGATCATAGGTGTCTTTGACCCAACAGGTGACATGGTAGCCGCAGAATAAATGACTGTTGCCCCTTGGCATGGATGAAGAGCAACACTCAATTTCACACAAAGCGAGAGTGGGTTTAGTGGGAATGTCCATTGCCACACCAAACCCATAGTGGATTCCAAGGGCCTGAAGGGCAAACTGAAAAGAACAACCAGGCACTGGGAATGCTTTGGCAGACCAACACAGACTGGGTTACATGGCAGTAAAGGCCATGCTAGGTTTGCTATATGTACAAGCATATGAGTCACAATTGCACCTCACCATGTAGATATGATAGTGCCAAATCAGTAGCTATGTAGATATGACAGTGCCCAATAGGCTCTGGAACCTGTACACTGTCTACATAAACGATCTACCAGTGGGGCCTCGTAGCCTGGTGGATAGCGCGCAGGACTCGTAATTCTGTGGCGCGGGTTCGATTCCCGCACGAGGCGGAAACAAATGGGCAAAGTTTCTTTCACCCTGAATGCCCCTGTTACCTAGCAGTAAATAGGTACCTGGGTGTTAGTCAGCTGTCACGGGCTGCTTCCTGGGGGTGGAAGGCCTGGTCGAAGACCGGGCCGCGGGGACACTAAAGCCCCGAAATCATCTCAAGATAACCTCAAGATAACCTCAAGTGGGAATACAGAATTACATGAACATGTTTGCTGACGATACTAAGATAATAGGGAAGATAAGAAACCTAGATGATTGTCATGCCCATCAAGAAGACCTGGACAAAATAAGTATATGGAGCAACACTTGGCAAATGGAATTTAATGTGAATAAATGCCATGTTATGGAATGAGGAACTGGAGAACATAGACCCCACACAACCTATAAATTATGTGAGAAATCTTTAAAGAATTCTGACAAAGAAAGGGATCTAGGGGGGGTTCTAGATAGAAAACTGTGTGCTGAGGACCACATTAAGAACATTGTGCAAGGAGCCTATGCTATACTTTCTAACCTAGCTTTTAAATACATGGATGGAGAAATACTAAAGAAATTGTTCACAACTTTTATTAGACCAAAGCTGGAATATGCAGCGGTTGTATGGTGCCCATATCTTAAGAAGCACATCAACAAACTGGAAAAGGTGCAACAACATGCCACTAAGTGGCTCCCAGAACTGAAGGACAAGAGCTACGAGGAGAGGTTAGAGGTATTAAATATGCAAAAAGTAGAAGATAGAAAAAAAAGAGGCGATATGATCACTATGTTCAATATAGTAACAGGAATCGATAAAATTGATAGGGAAGAATTCCTGAGACCCGGAACTTCAAGAACAAGAGGTCATAGATTTAAACTAACGAAACAAAGCTGCCGGAGAAGTATACAAAAATTCACTTTTGTAAATAGAGTGGTAGACGGTTGGAACAAGTTAAATGAGAAGGTGGTGGAGGCCAAAACCGTCAGTAATTTCAAAGCATATGACAAAGAGTGCTGGGGAGACGGGACACCACGAGCATTGCTCTCATCCTGTAACTCCACTTAAGTAATTACACTTAGGTAATTACTAATACCACTATTAATAATAGTGTACTAATAGTTCGGATTACCAGAAAATTGCAATGTGATGAGGATGGCAAACTTTGGTCAATAAGACAAGAACTCTCAAAAGAGGACAGAGAAAAACTGAAAGTGAACCTCACTGAAGCGAAACATCTGAATGGGGATAGAAATGAAGAAAGGAATTCTTTTTTCTACAAAGTGTCATGGACTGGAAAGCTTGTGAAATGGTACATATAGACAAAGCAACAAAATCATTAAAGGAAGGGGGGTGTAAAGAACAAAAGGAAGGGAACATATTCCTGAAAATAGTATATACCAACATAGATGAAGTGAGATAAAAAATATTGGAGTTGAAGGATATAATTCAGCTCAAAGTCCCAGATATTGTCGCATTAGCAGAGATGAAACTTGAAGAAAATATTTTAAATGAGGTCATATTCCCAAGGGGCTACTCAGTTTGGAGATGTGACATGTGATAAGATGTGATAACTAGAAAGGGGGGAGGAGTGGCTGTGCTGGTGAAGGAACACCTAAGGGTAAGAGAATTAATGTTTGAAAACCCTCGAGATATTAACATAATGGCATTGCAGCTCTGGAATCAAGATGATAAGCTGATTATTTTAAATGCCTACAGCCCACCAGCAAGCAACACATGGACAAAGGAAGAACTGGATGACAAATGAGAGGGCCTCATAATGGTCATGAGACTATGGTAAGAGCTGACAAAGATAAATCCCAATTGTTGGTACTGAGGGACTTCAACTTTAAGGCAATAGACTGGGAGACCTACGAGGCAAGAACAGAGGACATTTGGACAGGCAGATTTGTTAACCATATCTTGGAGACATTCATGTATCAACACGTCAGGCAGGCCACTTCCCTCATTCTTGTAATTACCTAAGTGTAGTTACTGGATGAGAGCTACGCTCGTGGTGTCCTGTCTCCCCAGCACTCTTTGTCATATAAATTCAGTAAAAGCAAGCTACAGGTAAAGGATAATATTCAAAGGTTAAAGATGGGGGAGACATACACGGAAAATGAAAAGGAAATGTGTGAAACATTAAATGAAAACTATCAAAATTTGTGCATACAAAATGAGATCTTCAGAGAATCAGACACAATAAGAATTCCAGAGAACAACAGAGAGCGTATAGAGGTGTCTAGAGATGAAGTGGAAAATATGCTAAAGGAACTAAGTAAGAACAAAGCAGTTGGTCCAGATGGAGTTTCACCATGGGTTCTGAGAGAATGTGTGTCTGAGCTCAGTATTCCACTTCACCTGATCTTTCAGGCATCCCTGTGTACAGGAATCGTAGCAGACGTGTGGAAAAGGGCTAACATAGTTCCAATCTACAAAAGTGGCAGCAGGGAAGACCCCCCCCCCCTCAATTATATACCTGTATCATTGACAAGTGTAATTGTGAAAATATTGGAAAAAATAATAAAAACTAAATGGGTAGAACATCTGGAGAGAAATGACATAATATCAGACAGACAGTATGGTTTTCGATCTGGAAGAGCCTGTGTATTGAATTTACTCAGTTTCTATGATCGAGCAACAGAGATATTACAGGAAAGAGATGGTTGGGTTGACTGCATCTATCTGGACCTAAAAAAGGCTTTCGACAGAGTTCTACATAGAGGTTGTTCTGGAAACTGGAAAATATTGAAGAAGTGACAGGTACGCTTCTAACATGGATGAAAGACTTTCTAACTGATAGAAAAATAAGGGCAGTAATCAGAGGCAATGTATCGGACTGGAGAAATGTCACAAGTGGAGTACCACAGGGTTCAGTTCTTGCACCAGTGATGTTCATTGTCTACATAAATGATGTACCAGTTGGTATGCAGAATTATATGAACATGTTTGCTGACGATGCTAAGATAATAGGAAGGATAAGAAACTCAGATGATTGTTATGCCCTTCAAGAAGACCTGGACAAAATAAGTAGATGGAGCACCACTTGGCAAATGGAATTTAATGTTAATAAATGCCATGTTATGGAATGTGGAATAGGAGAACATAGACCCCACACAACCTGTAAATTATGTGAGAAATCTTTAAAGAATTCTGATAAAGAAAGAGATCTAGGGGTGGTTGTAGAGAGAAAACTATCACCTGAGGACCACATAAAGAACGTTGTGCGAGAAGCCTATGCCACACTTTCTAACTTCAGAATTGCTTTTAAATACATGGATGGCGAAATACTAAAGAAATTGTTCACAACTTTTGTTAAGCCAAAGCTAGAATATGCAGCGGTTGTGTGGTGCCCGTATCTTAAGAAGCACATCAACAAACTGGAAAAGGTGCAAAGACATGCTACTAAGTGGCTCCCAGAACTGAAGGGCAAGAACTACGAGGAGAGGTTAGAGGCCTTAAATATGCCAAAACTAGAAGACAGAAGAAAAAGAGGTGATATGATCACTACTTACAAAATAGTAACAGGAATTGATAAAATCGATAGGGAAGATTTCCTGAGACCTGGAACTTCAAGAACAAGAGGTCATAGATTTTAACTAACTAAATAAAAGACTCCGAAGAAATACAAGAAAATTCACTTTCGCAAACAGAGTGGTAGACGGTTGGACCAAGTTAAGTGAGAAGGTGGTGGAGGCCAAAGCCATCAGTAGCTTCAATGCGTTATATGACAAAGAGTGCTGGGTAGGCGGGACACCACGAGCGTAGCTCTCATCCTGTATTACACACAGAAATCACAATTACGTGTTGCATCAAATGAACCAATCCAGAAGGGCCGTGACGAGGATTCGAACCTGTGTCCGAGAGCATCCCAGACGCTGCCTTAATTGACTGAGCTGTGACATGCTCAAAAGGAATTGAAACCGAAGTTCTACTGAACTTACTAGATCCTGCAGCCTCTCGGAGGCACAAACCAGGGTTTTACACAACTCCCCATTCTCTCATCCTGTAACTACACTTAGGTAATTACTAATTGATTGACAACTGAGAGGTGGGACCGAAGAGCCGAAGTTCAATCTCTGCAGGCACACCTAGGGGAATACCGACCAATGCCCACTCCTGACCTGAGGCAATACAAAGGGGCAAAAAGATTCCCGACTCGCCCAAGGTGAGGGCTACGCCAAGCAGGAAGGACCTCTAAGAGAGCTAACTCTCATACACGCTAGAGAATAGGGGTAGCAATAGAGAGCACTCAGGAAAGATAACCCTAAGCATATAAAGCCCCAGGCATTCTAAAATGGCCAGGTTCATGCTACACCAACAGTGTACAAATCCAAGCCACACAAGACAAAGTTCAAAAGAGGCACTCAGCTGAAAAGCACCTGGGCCAACCACAGTTTACTGACAATTCAGGAGCCCTACTACAGATATGCTACACATGCTGCATCAGCAGAAGAACTGACTGTTTTAACTAGTTGTCAGTGTGATTCCTGACCCCCCTCTCCCTGCAAATGAGAAGGGTAGGGTGAACGAATGCATGCATGTTTTGAGAGATTTAATGTTTTGTTTACATTGTTGGAGGGAGTTCATTTTTGCTGGTTGTGAAGCTTCAGTCTTTTAGAACACAGCAGCAGTCTGTATTGGTTCGCTGACTTTCTGGACGTTTTCCCTGGAGAGGGAGCAAGTGTCACCAGCTCACTCACTGCACCTCTAGGGAGGGGGACCAGGTTCTGGCTGTGGTTCTTGGTAGGCTGAACTGAATTCTGTGGCAGATGCAATTTAGTAGTTGGGAGCCCTCTCAGCAAGATAGATTCAGGGAGCCACAAAGGGTTCCCCCCTCCCCCCAAAAACATTTTGGCTCACAGACATTCACATTTTCTATAAGTGTTCATCGGTTAGGTTAGACTTGGCTAGAGCTATTTAGTACATTATTTTCTTTGTGACAATTCGAGAAGGTGGACTGAATGATTGTTAATTGCAGTTTTATATTTTCTTTAAGGGCAAAAAAATTAGCTCATTTGGGCGTCAAGCAATACGTGATGATGTCGACGGGGAAAGTGAAGAGTTCAATAAGGAATTCTCCATGCCAGATGGTAATGAAGTACCTGTACTCCTTTAGTGATGCATTATTGATTTTTAACCTGTTTATTATTTCCTTTGTATTTCTTTCTGGGGGAGCTCCGTAGGCTCCCCGGAGCTATCTGGGCTGAAACGAATGTATTAGACCCCTAATAGTATCTAATAGTATTATTAGAATGTATTGGTTGTTGTTGGGGTGTGAGAGGGGAAGGGCCATGCTCGCTGAGCTCCGTGAAAAACAATATATATGTAGGAATATTTCAGTGATACAGGAACTAAACACAGTCAGATATCTCATAAAGTGCGTCTTAACATATCAAACAATATACGATAGTGATTGCCATCAACTTTTGTGATTTTAAGGAAATAACAAGTGAAATTCAGGTGTAGTCAACAAGTCCACAGCCTGCCTGCCCTCATGGTGCCAGGAGTCTGGAGGCAAAAGTTGCCAAGGCGTTTAAAAACAAAAAAAAAATCGCATCCCTCCTTATTGATACATCAAGAAATCATAGTTGTCTGCAGTGCTAAACTCTCTATGCAGGTGATGAGTCACAATAATGTGGCTAAATTATGTTGACCAGACCACACACTAGAAGGTGAAAGGACGACGACGTTTCGGTCTGTCCTGGACCATTCTCAGTCGATTGTGGAATCAACATGAGAATGGTCCAGGACGGACCGAAACATCTAAACTCTTTATGTAAACAATTGTGTCAACCGTAAAAATTAAGATATATTTGATCACCAAATTAAGATATATTTGTTCACCTTGATATCAAGTGAACAAATTATACACAAAATAGGTCCGTTGTGTGTAAATGAGGGACATCCTGGCATAGGCCCACGTCCTGTTTCCACCATGTGTGTGTAATTACCTAAGTGTAGTTACAGGATGAGAGCTAAGCTCGTGGTGTCCCGTCTTCCCAGCACTCTGTCATATAACGCTTTGAAACTACTGACAGTCTTGGCCTCCACCACCTTCTCACCTAACTTGTTCCAACCGTCTACCACTCTGTTTGCGAAAGTGAATTTTCTTATATATCTTCGGCATCTGTGTCTAGCTAGTTTAAATCTATGACCTCTTGTTCTTGAAGTTCCAGGTCGCAGGAAATCTTCCCTGTCGATTTTATCAATTCCTGTTACTATTTTGTACGTAGTGATCATATCACCTCTTTTTCTTCTGTCTTCTAGTTTTGGCATATTTAATGCCTCTAACCTCTCCTCATAGCTCTTGCCCTTCAGTTCTGGGAGCCACTTAGTAGCATGTCTTTGCATCTTTACCAGTTTGTTAATGTGCTTCTTAAGATATGGGCACCACACAACCGCTGTATATTCTAGCTTTGGCCTAACAAAAGTCGTAAACAATTTTTTAGTATATTGCCATCCATGTACAGTATTTAAAAGCAATTCTGAAGTTGGAAAGCGTGGCATAGGCTCCTTGCACAATATTCTTTATGTGGTCCTCAGGTGATAGTTTTCTATCTAGAACCACCCCTAGATCTCTTTCTTTATCAGAATTCTTTAAAGATTTCTCACATAATATATAGGTTGTGTGTGGTCTATGGTTTCCTATTCCACATCCCATAACATGGCATTTATACAAATTAAATTCCATTTGCCAAGTGGTGCTCCATATACTTATTTTGTCCAGGTCATCTTGAAGGGCATGACAATCATCTAAGTTTCTTATCCTTCCTATTATCTTAGCATCATCAGCAAACATGTTCATATAATTTTGTATACCAACTGGTAGATCATTTATGTAGAAAATAAACATCACTGTGTGTGTGTGTGTGTGTTCGCTTACTAGTAATGTGTTTCCAACAAGTGTAATGTACTCAGGTTACTAGTGCCCTGACACAGAAACTTGATGCCTCCACTGTAAGATAACTAGTGGGAAAATGCAAACAATGTACTCTTAGCATGGGAACAAAACAAATTAATAACTGTAGCCTCTGTTTAACGCAACAGTAAAATGTGTACTTGGATGAAAAAACGATTCTTCGCGGCAGGGGATCGTATTCCAGGGACCATAGGATTAAGGACTTGCCCGAAACGCTACGCGTACTAGTGGCTGTACAAGAATGTAACAACTCTTGTATATATCTCAAAAAAAAAAAAAAAATAGTACGACACGAGGTGGCAACACAGCCCGTCCATACAGCCTCCTACTGTCTGCTCCCCCTCCTCCCAGTCACTGGTCAGTACCCACTGGTCAATACCCACCAGACAACACCCACCGGTCCACTACCTTAACACCATCACTGAACTGAAGTATTCAGTAAAAATGTCTTTGGGAAAATCGTGCAGAGAATACAACAAGAAGGTAGATCACCAGCAGAGCTTTCAATGTCAACTGTGCCCAGCAGTCGTATGCAGTAAATGTGCCAACATGATTAATAATGCAAGGAAAAATGGTTTCGGAGAAAACACTGTGCACTGGCTCTGCACAAAGGATAATATTACTTTCTTGAAGATGATCGCAAATCTGGATAAAATTCCTGCACTGAACATAGAATCGCTGATAAATGCCTGCATAAAAATTTGAAATGTCTTCAAACAAATTGTCCATGACACCCAGGTACAATCAGATGAGGCACAGTTTCGGTGTCGCCACAGCAGTGCTGTGTCGGGACGGCGCCACAGCAGGGTGCTGTCGGGAGCACGCCACAGCAGGGTGCTGTGTCGGGGCGGCGCCACAGCAGGGTGCTGTGTCGGGGGCGGCGCCACAGCAGGGTGCTGTGTCGGGGGCGGCGCCACAGCAGTGTGCTGTGTCAGGGGCGGCACCACAGCAGCGTGCTGTATCGGGGCCAGCACCACAGCAAGGTGCTGTGTTGGGGGCGGCGCCACAGGAGGGTGCTGTGTCGGGGGCAGCGCTACAGCAAGGTGCTGTGTCGGGGGTGGCGCCACAGCAGGGTGCTGTGTTAGGGGGGGGGTGCACAGCAGAGTGCAACCTTTGGCAAAGGGAAACGAACAAAACAAGGAGCCCGAAACCTGTCGCTATTAGTAATGGGGGTATCTGTAAACAAGGGATATCGGGAAGAACAAATGGAATATGTAAGTACGATCACCCTAGAAAGTGCAGAATTTTCCATAGTACAGGTAAATGCACTGAAAGCTGTGAATTTTTTTCAACCAGAACTTTGCAAGAACTCCTTAGATAGGAAAGAATGTTTCAATATAGAATGTCCAGCTTTCCATATAAGGGGTACCAGGCGAATAATACTGACAAACCACCTCGAGGAAAGCAGCCACAACACTATTTACCAGGATGATTTTTTAGCAAGAGGAGGAAAAGAATGGCTAAAAATGTCCAGATTCTACCACCAATCCGGTCAAATGCTGGGGAGGACGCAAACACAGTGGCCTCCTTACCAGAGCTTCAGATATTAACACCAAGTAAAGCATCCAGCATTTTCACAAACATAACAGCATTTTTGGGCTGCATGCACCTAGGGTTGCCTTCCCTAGGTGCCCCGTAAGTACTGCCCTTGCAGGCTTGTGGTTACATTCCACAAGTTTCCTTGGAATCTTTCTTTGCTGTCTTTTGCTGCTTGGTGATTGACCACCCTTGGAGTCAGCTGGGGTACTTATTGCTTCCCTGTTTGCCTTCGGGTTGGGGGTAGTTTTTGTCACTGGTTGGGGCGCAAGGTTCTGTGCAGCTAGTTTTCACTGCTCATAGCGGCCGGCTCGGTTCTGTCTGGCCACGTTATCCTCCTGCGGGGTTTACTTTTTCTTTTCCCTGCCTGGTGGGGAGTCTGCCCCTTGGTTTGGTCACACCCTTTGTATTTTGGTGGTCCTCTGCTAGGCCTCCGAGAATGTACACATCCCGGTTCAGCTATTCACCCTCAGCCTGCTTATGTGCTGCCTGAGCCATCCTGGTCTTTGGATTGGGTGATCTCCTTTTATCTCTTCCCTTCTTTGTGGTGGCCCCTTCGGTTCAGGATTGTTTCTCCAAGGCCCCTTCTTGTTGGCATTGGCCTCTGGGGGTTGGATTGGGGAGCTTCATGCTCTCCTTCGGTACAGGAGTTTCTGCTCATTTGGTCCTGGTAATAGGTTTATTCAGTTGCAGCTGTCTCCTTTTCTGGCGAAGAATGAGACTGCTGCATCTGGAGGGGTCCTTGGGTTGTTGATGCTTGGTTGGTCAGGCCGTGGGTGCATCATGTGTTGTCCGGTTGCGGCTCTCTGCCATTACCTGTGCAAGCAATGGCAGCCGACCAGAGGGCTGAGAGAGAGTATTGGAGGCTTTGATGGCTGGGGACGCGCTTTGGGTTGACCCGGGTTTCCCTTCTTCCCTGTTCCATGATTCGGGTCTCCCAAGACGTCTGCAGGGTTATTCGGTCTTGCCAGCCTGCTGTCAATCCTCGTGCCTACAACGTTTGTAAGTTTGCTGCACTGGCTGCCATCTTCGGTAACATGTCTTGGGCTGACATTCGGGCATGGGGTTTTTGGAGGTCGGAAAAGGTCCTGGCCGCTCGCTACCTTGTCAATGTTCCTGGGCCTAGTTTGGCCTGTGTCGCATTGGGTCGGTAGTTTCAGCCAGTTGTCTCGACTTCGCGTTGGGGAGCAAGGACTGACCACCTCCCAGGTAAATCCCTCTTGTTTTTGTCTTTAGGGTAAGTAGCTCCGGGGAGCCGATGGGGCTCCCCCCAGAAAACCAGCATTGAATGTAGTAAAATCCCATTTCCTGGGTGAGCTGCAGAGGCTTCCCGGCAATCCTCCTTCCCTCCGGTCGGCTGTTTTCTGGGGGAGGCCCCTTCGGCTCCCCGGAGCTATCTCAGGCTGATATGCTAATGTCAGACTTTGGCATCAGTCATGTGTATGGAGTTCTTAGGCCTACTGGGGACCACAGCCAGAACTTGGCCCTCTCAATGAGGCAAGGGAAGCAATGCCCTATAGAAACCCTCATGTGGTTGGAAGCATCCTATGTCTGCCATCGACCAGATCAGTCACCCAGAAAGGTAAGCACCCCAAAACAAACCCCTATTCTGGTTAAAATTGCTACCAAAAGCCG